TGTGTCAAGTGAAATTTGCATTTTTTTAAATAAAGTTTTATCCCTCAGCTGTGTGTGGTCTAGTAATTTACTGGGGCAGAAAACTGAGCATCATGACACTCCAATATTTGACATAAAGATACATAACCTGTTTTCTAGAGCACTGCAGCTGTCTGCAAGAGCTTCTCCCCACTGATGTTTCACTTTGTCCCTCACAAGTCACAATTCTTTCCAGGTCTCTCACCTGTGCACTTAGCTTTATCTCCAGCTGAAGTTCAGATTTTACTGACATCTCTGGCAAAAATAATTTTCCCTCCTTTTTATAAAATTGGTTACAGCATCTGCAAACTATTTCCTTCAATATTACATCACAGTTGGTTTGATTCTCCTCCCTTGTCCTGTTCCACCTCTTCCTGGTGCAGTCTGTGGTGCAGCTCTTACACATGAGTTTTTGGCCCCCAAAGAACAATCAAGAGAGGTATTTAGTCACCTTCAAATAAAGTCCCTGTTGGACTAACACACAGATTTACTTCATCCCTTAGTTCTGCTTTACCTGCAGCAGTTCTAGTCCTTAGGTCTATTTTAAAGGAAAAATTCCTCGTGAAACCAGCAAGGGAAGTTGCTGAGTTTGCAGTTACCTCATTCACTAGAGGAACTGCCTGACAAGACTCAGTGTTTCTCCTCAAGGACAGAGCTTCACTCCAGTCCAACAGCCCAAGAACTGCAAAGAGTCATGGAAAGACTTACCCGTTTCTCCTCAAGGACAGAGCTTCACTCAAGTCCAACAGCCCAAGAACTGCAGGGAAGAGTCATGGAAAGACTTACCAAGTTCAAAGCTTCTGTTTCCTTGGATGTGAAACCACAGTGTCCGATTTGCAGCAGGATCTGGTCCCACAGCACCTCTGGTCAAGCACTGGCTGAGGATGGCACCAAACTGCTGGGAATTAAGAAACACTTAACTTGGAACAAGTGTCAAAACTGCCCTCACAGAATGGCTGCTGTGCTCCAAAGGTAAGTCACATTGCTGGTTTGGGGGTTTGTTGATCAGGTAAATCATCAGAACAGTTCAAATTAGCAACTGCTTCACTCCAGCAGTGACTCCCTGCCCACCCCCAACTCCAGGACACACTCCAAGCACTGTACACTGCAGGTGAACAGCTTCAATTCATCTAACACTTTCCAGTGTGGTATTTAATGCACTGGAATACTCAGGTCATGTTAGGCTCCAGCCTGGGGTTCACAGACCCGAACACAAATCATGAGCAGGTTAAACTTTGCCAGCCTCAGACACAAACAGCAGCAGTTTGCAGAGCCCAACTGGCACATCCTGCACCTCAGTGTAGGATTGTTCCTGACATGGAAAAAGGTTCCAGGATCTGCCACTCCACACTCCCCACCAGGCCAAGCAATGCAAACCCAGACTGGCTTTGTCCTGCAGCATCCAATCCAGCCCCAGGGAACTGACATCTTAAATCAACTCTTCATATAGACCAAGTATTTTGTAAAATATTTGAAACACGAACCAGTTGCATGTAGAAAATACTCAAGTCTTAGTTCTGTGAGTGATATGTTTCACAAAAGTGACTTTTCATCTGCAGTTCTAAACAGCAAACCAGAGCTGAGATCCAGCTCAGGTACTCAGCTCTGCCCCAAGAAAGGACAATGGAAGTTGCTATCATCTGGCTAAAAACCTGCTAATTTACAGAGATACCTTAGATACAAGTAATAACCTGGCAAAGGAAGAACATGTCCCCAAAGTTCCTGGAGGAGCTGCTCAAAGCCTCTGCACACAGAACGAGACACCCATCATGGCAGACTGCATATTGCTGAACTTGATGTACAAAAAGCTGCTCTCAAATCAAACATTTCATGTAAAAACAAAGGTTCATTGGAACAACTGAACCTGGTTTGGGGTCTTTATTTGGGGCTGGTTCTGTTTTTCCATCTGCTGCACTGTTCAGACTCCTGGTGACCATCTTACATGGCATCCTCAGACTACATATAGAAAAGGCATCTTGATAAATAGAAAACAAAGGGATTTTTTCAGCTTTTATTATAAATTGACATGACATACAAAGTTTACTGGACAGAAGTAATTTCATTACTATTTTTGGGGGGATCACCAACTTTTTGTGCAAACAATGCTAGCCTTCTTTTAAGCATTAAGAGCATAACTGCTTTAGAAATGACATAAGCAATAATTCTAGAACTACATCTCCCCTAAAATAATCTATTTCTTTACATATGTGCACAGCTTTAGCAAATTAAAGCCAGAGAGAAATGCTTGATGTACTATCCAGAGGCATAATTAAAGGAGTTTGCTAAAACTCAGAGCTGGCAAATCCAGGGAGTTTGTAATGAAAGCTGCAGTTTCCCTCTTTCCTATTTTGTACACAAAATCAGTGACTAAGAACTTAATACTGGATGACAAATCACATCCACACCATTAGTTAAATAGTCTCACAGTTAAACACATCTTAAAGGACCATCAAAATCAGTATTTACACTTTATAAATTTCTGAAGACACCATTAGAAAGCTTATATACCCTTCAACAAACAGGGAACTGCATCTCATGGTGGTGGAATGAAATAAAAAATTAAAAATACCTGTATTTACAGCAGCATTGTTCCTTTATAAATAAAGAATATGAAAAATGCAATATTTTAAGGAGAATAAAAAATTGAGGTGATGTCACTCAACCACAGTGCTTGCTGGAATAAACCTTCGGTGCTGATACTGTACCAGTAGTGAAACCACTTTCCATTGGAAAAAATCTGTAAACGTATGCATAAAATGTGTTAACAGCAGTGCAAAACTGCTCAAATATAGTTTAGTCAGCATCTTAGTATCTGTATTGAATACAATACATCACAGAATACTTACATAAGAAGTGCAACACATTTTCTGGTCCAATTTTACAGTGCATTTTTCCCTCAAGAGTGGCATCTGGAAAGCCAAAGCTAAACCCACGGCCTGGCCTTGCAGTCTGTGCTCAGGCAAGAACTTCAGGGCAGGTTAAGGACGTGGTGCCCACGGTGTGCAGCCCCAGGCAGGAGGAGGCTGCACCCAACCCTCAGTGTAGCTGTGTGAACGTGTGCTGGAAACCAAGGGAGCCAATGTTTGAGTCTGACATGTAACACGGGGAGAGCTGAGCCACCCCCGACACCAACTGCTGCAACCCAGGGAGCCAAGCTGGAGCCTCACTGTGTCTGCAACACCAAGAGCCAAGACCTTTCCAAACAGGCACGAGACAAAGGAAGTGCTAAGTTCGCCGACTTCGACAATTTCAGTGTAAAAATCCCAACTCATTTGTAATTTTACGACCGATCGATAAATGATTTCAAACACAAGGATCAAGGTTAGACTTTGAAGAGTGAGACCTTATTTCCACAAAAAGCTAACTGGAGAATTTCTAGATAAGAAAAGCAGAAACTGTATCCCAATTCCCTTCCCCTACTGTTTCACAACTTCATGGTAGGAAAAAACAGCCAGATACAGATGCAAAACTCTTAATATAAAAACGGGTTTACATATACTTATGTAAATTCCATTAAGTTCTTAAGACACTAATTACTAAAATTACAAAAGAGATTTTCATATTGCTCTTCATGCTCAAACTCTTAGAATATTGTCATTACATCACCAAAACCAATATACATGTAGTACTTGCATAAGTAACTGAATAAAAACCCTGTTAAAACAATATCCTTGTTGAAATCATTTATTTCCATCCAGCAGTGCCTGTTTGGAACCTCTGTATGTTTGTGTGTGATTCTTTATAGAGCTCATGCACCCTAGAATGTCCATTGAATGACAACTGACTGTGACTTCAGAGCTTCTGCTTCTTGCTCTGTTTGGTGACACCTGAGACGCCGTCGACTTCCGAAACCCTCACGCTATTTTCACTGTACCCATTTGTTGTCCCACTCTGCTCCTCAGCAGGTTCCTCCTCTGTTGGGGAGGCTGATTCTCCTTTCTCCAGCTTCTGCTGCATCTCCCGGAGCCTGGCCACAGCTTTGTCTATGGACATGATGCTGATGAGGTTAAAGTCATGCATGCTGACCAGGTGGAGCATAAAGTTTCGACACAAGTTCTTCTTAATGATTTTTTGTCCATAGTTCTCAACGAAGAGCATACAGGCATGATTCATCTGATTGTCAGCAATAAACCTGGTGAGGCAGAGAGACATCTTTATGCAAAGAAACATTCTCACAGCTACAGAGAGACCCCAGAGCATGGCCCAGCAAGGCACCTGCAGAACACCTACCACCTCCTCCCACCACCTGCAGTGCCCCATTCCTTCCAAAGCCAAAGGGCTACTAGGTACAAGAACAGATTTTAAAAGCTTAAATACTCCAAAGCTTGTTACCAAATCATCCTTTTCTAACAGAATTGTAAGTATTTAGTGATTGCAATGCAAAATGGTCAATCTCTAGCATGACTGATCTGTGGCAAGCCAAGCAGTGTTAACATACCCGTGCTTCATAACATGAAGGTTCCACAATTTCATCACTTCTTTCTCTCCCTCGTTAACATCAGAAAATTCTTCAATTTGCTGGAGAGGTGAAGGATTCAGAGGAAGGACAGAAAAAGAAATAAATACACCTATCAGAACTGCAAAATTCAACTTACACCAGAAATATATATAGAGAGAAATCAGGCTCTGCAGTCAAAACAGCCACAAAAATGTCCTATCACGTAGAGACTCGTGATGCTAAATTACATCCTTGCTACATACACCCCACACCGTGTGCTCCTGTGCTCCCAGCAGCTCCTCCTTGAAGGAGAAAACCAGCCACAAACAACCAACACCCGTGTGGACACACAGGACTGAGGCAGATTTGCAACTGGAGCCACACCTGGAAAAACAAACCCCAACTCCATGAATTTCCACCCATGGTGGCTCAGCCAAACGTTACATCATTTCCACAACACATTCCTGATGGCTCCCTACAACTGCAGATCACCTTTCAAAAACCCACTTCAAGCAGTTTGTACACAGGGAATACTCACAGTGATGGTTTTCTCCCTCAGCCATTCCGGGTCCTTCTCGTCCTCACTGTCCACCTCCATCTCCTGGGGCCGGAGGGGCAGGCACGTGTCGCTGTGGAAGTACAGCCTGTTGTGCCCACTGCTGTACGTCCTCTGCTGCTCCACCTCTCCATCCTCAGACTCCAGGAACTCAGACATACTCGCTTTCGTGCGCTTCGGCCTGAAGGAGGGAAGGAAACTGCTTTCACCACCAAAGCAGAGCTGCAAACACTAAGAGCTGTGAGCAATTCATACAGAATATTCTTTGCAGCTTTAGCTTGCACAAACGTGGGTGGGGGGAAAGGACCAGCAATGGTCACTAGCACACAGAGATGTGCTCCATTAAAAACCCAACACCCAATGTTCCAACCCTCCAACTTCTTCTGGGGAGCTGAAGTTTTAGGATAAGGCAGTTAGTTACTCAACTGAAAAGACGCAGAAAAATCACAGGTGAAGTTTTCATCTTTCAGTTACATCTCGTTTAGCCGTGACAGCGAAACTCAGCACTGCTCCGTGCAGCAGTGTGGGGGGTGGGTTTAGCCGTGACAGCGAAACTCAGCACCGCTCCGTGCAGCAGTGTGGGGTGTGTGGGGCTCAGCCCCTGCAGCACGTCCATCCCTACCTGCACACGAGGATGTGTGTGATGGGAGTCCTCTTGACCGGCCCGTTGCGGCTGAAGGCGAAGCCAGGCTGGCGGTGGATGTCCTGGGGGTTCCCTGCGTAGGAGCCATCGTAGCACTCGTTGATGGACACGTCTATCCGAGCCCCTTTGGGGTGGTACTGCAACACAGTGCACACACACTCAGCTGGCATCAGGACAATGCAGCAGGAGGCTCTGAACACCTCAACGATCCCTATCGACCGCTGGACACAGCTCTGGCTCCTCTGACAACACCCAAATCATCTCTAACCTAGGAACAAAGAGCACTGAAGCCTCCTTGCTCTGTACTGTTTCAGTTTTATATAAAACCATTCAGGGCTAATTATAAAATAAAGAAATATCAGCAAGAGATTGCTGACAAGAACCCCAGAAATGAGATTTTCCTCAAGCTCCAAGAGACTTCCAACCCAATCTGGTTACGCTGCTTTCTGCCACAGGAGAGAGCACACTGAGGCAAAGGCAGCAGCTGCAGACAGAAATCCTCCTCCAGTGATCACTATTTAGCACCCCTGTATTTTAGAACAAGAAGCAGGACCGGCCCCACGTTTTTTCCCCACACAAACATTCGTATCCCACTCGGAGGAAGTGCATCCAACCTGTGGACACAGTCCTGCACCTAACAGGCTGCAGACAGATCTCCTGGTGTCTGTGACAGACGTCCCCGTGCCTCACGAGAAGATGACTTACCACGTAATTGAAGATAAATCTGCTGTGGCAAAGCTTCAGGTGCTTGAGCAAGCTGTAGAGCTTGCGGCAGTTCAGAGTGCACCAGGGGCAGTGCAGGTCGTCGCGGGCCTCCGTCTGCTGCCGCGTGTTGTTGTTGTAAAGGAACTGATGCACACAGAGGGACAGGCAGGGCAGCAGGAAAGGACCAAAGAATTAAACTGTCAGATGAGCAAACTATCAAATGAGTTCCATTCATTAACTTCCCAAGCCCCCAAACCAAGCTGGACGTCACTTCAGGAGATCTCTACGGCAATGACAAGACCTTGGGAACACAACACCAGCTCAGCGTCCCGGAACACTGGTATTTCAGGAATTTTTCCCCATAGGAACACCACCTGTTCCTCCCAGATGTCTAACAGGAGATGTCCCTTGTACTTCAGAACACCAGGTGTGACCCCAGCAATCACTCTGGGAATCTGAGGCCCCTTAAGGCATCCCCTAAAGGGGCAAGTGCAAATTTCCACCTAACTCACAAGAAAATTTTAATTCCATGCAGTATTGAGGTTCTAGTGTTTCCCTCCAATGGTCATTGTCAATACCTGGTAAAATATTCTCAACTTCTGTCTAGGTTCATTTAGCACATCTCTCTCTTTCCTTGTCTGAAGATCTGCTGGCAAGGACTCTTTCACAGCTGAAAGAAAAACACATGTAGACATACATTTCTTTGGGGAAGAGGAAAAAACAGACATTGTTCCTTACCCATTAAGGAAGTCCTGACAAGGGCACACTACACTAAAGGAGAAAGGGCTACACAAAGTACTTCTGTGTGCTCTGACACAAACAGTTCAGAGCAGCAACAAGTCTTGATGCTCAGATCTCTCCACAAACTACAGGCAAACCCTCCACTTCTCACACCAGGTGTATCCCCAGTTTTGGAGAATCCCTCAGAGAACTTCAAAACAGTGAGGGAAAACCCAACATTTTTATTACTCCGTTTAAGCAACTCTTTAGGTGCAGCTAAAAGCAGGTGTGGCTGGGAAACAAATTCAGTTTCTCAAGTCACTCAAGAGGAAACAGAAATGCAAGTAACACACAAAATATTTAGCTGAAACTGCAACCCTCCAACACTTACTGTCTGTGTGTGTAATGGCTCTGGTCAGTTGCCTCTCAGTCTCTTCTGCACTCCTGAGACTCTGTGAGGTCATTGGATTCATAAAATGAAAAAGGAGCCCCAAGTATCTGGCAGGTTTGCACATCCACCCTCAAGACCTACTTTGCTTCTGAATGGTGGTAACGATGGCAGAACAAGGCTCAGCTCGACTGACACAAGACAACACTTGTTTCATCAGGAGACCTGACACTTCAGCCTGTGCTGCTTCAGACAAAGTGCAGTTCCATGGCTCAGATACTTTGAGAACTTGGAAATTACAGCCAAGCTTAAGCTGCCACATTTAGAAAGTCTCTGATGTCTGTATTCCACTGCTCTGCCTTGGGAACATGCCAAAGCAAAATGCAACGCCAAATTCATACATCATTGGGAAAGATGTGCTGGATCTTCATCTTCCACTGTCAGAATCTGTGACACAAGTTGCCTGTTTTCATTCTCCTGCCACTCAAGACAGTGCAAATGGCAGAGCCACCACACACAGCCATTCTGAAATGCCATTCTGCAAAGGTTCACCAGCACTGCATCCCTGCACACCCAAGAGACTGAGCCTGGGGCAGAACCACTGTGCTCCAGACAGTCACTTCCGTGACAGGGCCTGGAAGATTCCTGAATCTCAGCCCCAATCTAGCTAGAAGCTTGGCAATACTGACTGCTCTGAAGTGCCTCAGGTGCCAGTTCAGAGCCAAGGCATGTTGATAGGTTAAACAAGAGGAACAGACTGTTGTCTTCTGCATGACTTCAGTTTTTCAGCTGTCCTTGGGCCTTACCTGCCCACACAACTTTCTAATCCAAGCCACAAACAACTGGGAGCAGGACAAGATAAAGACAATACCTAGGCCAGCTTTCCCTCTAGTTTATGCACTGAGCATAAGGCCACATGGTGTGGAATGTGCCTTTGGTCAGCTGTCCCAGCTGTGCCCCACAGCTCCTCACTGCTCGGGTGCTGGGAGAGCTGACAAGTCCTTGACTTAGTCCAAACACATCTTAGCAACAACTAAAACATCAGTCACTGTATTCTCATCCTAAATCCAAAACACAGCACTGCACCAGTTCCCAAGAAGAAAATTAACTCTATTCCACTGAATACCCTGAAACCAGGGCAGCTACAAACCCAAATACTGACACAAGTGATTGAAGTGAGCAGAGCAGACAATCCTGGAAGTCCTACTGACAGCTTTCCCCTGATAGGGATCACAGCAGGATTTTTGAGCATTGTGTACAATCACTTCAATATTGCCAACATTTCCAAGACCCCCACGATGTTTAGCTTTCAGATTTACCTTAAAAAGCTACAGAATCTGGGATAGAACAGAGCCCACTCATTCCTGTTGAGCAGGAAGCAGCTGCAGCAGCACATAAGGGCTAAGTAGATGATTACTGAGCAGCAAAACCAAGTGTGCTCACCTATAGTCTGAGTGGGTTTCACAGAATTGGTCTTGTTCTCTTGGGGGAGACTTTCAGAATTCCTCGTCGCAAGAGGCTTAGCTATAGGAGCTGTAGACTTATCATTTGTGTCTCCTGTCCAACGAAGAGTAAACTGAAGTGTAGGTCCCTGAGAAAACGTTTCGAATGGAGGCAACCTCTGGGGGGAATCAAAACAAACCAGCAGAGTTAGTGCCTTCCCATGTACAAAAACAATCACAAAAATACTCACAGAATGGACGTAGATGTCATTTTTGTAATGCAGGTAAAGGCTGAAGAGGATAACTGAGCTTATAACTACATTTTTTATATAGTCTGGATCATCTCTGCTTCTCGCATAATTATAGAAGCATGTTGGGACACAAATACTGGGGGACCATCTGGAATCTTCATGTTCTTCTCCTCTGTCACTTACACCTGATGCTCTTCCAGAACATGGAACATCTGACTACAGAAGTACATAGAGTCACCTCATTCACTGTACCACCAGGTGCTGGTTCACCTCAGCCACAGTTTCTCTCTGCTCAATACTTTCTCCTACGCTGACACACCCTCTTCTTTTCATCAGTGCATTTCACCACCATTCTCTTAAGGCAGATATGTAAGATCACACCTATGGAAGCTCTGGGTGCTTCTTTCTTTGCCTAAAATATTCTGCTTCTGCTGCTTGTTCCTTTCGATTTGTCCAACTTGAATTTACTACAGTAACAAATATTTAAATGACCTGACTATAAGGCAGAAGTTCAGAAGTCACTGAAAGGGACAACTGCCACACCTACAGCAGTTGACATCTGCTTGTCGTAGTGATCCAGTGCAACCAAAGCTTTCTAAACTGAGAGGTAAACCAAAATCTATGTCCATATATTCTCAGACAATTATTTCCTGTTCAACTCCATCCCTTTTTCAGAGGAACGGCCACTGACTGCACTTCAAACCGAGTTCCACCTTAATCTAGCTCATTTTAAGTGAAGACAGGTCTTTCAGCCACCAGAACAATCCATACCTTCCCATCAAGTATTGTTTCCCACGTGGCTCTTTTCTTGCTAATGGGACACTCTTCCATCTCCTGCATGGCCACCTCATACTCCCCATCCAGGAGCTGCAGGCGCCTGGCAAGACACAGGATGCACTTTGTGTAAAACAGCTCATTTTTATGGCCTGCATAAAGCAGTCACAGAGTAAACCTACTGTGACTTAACTACTTGTTTGATTGCCCTGTAGTAATGGAGAACTGATGTCTTCTTTAGGTGCCACCAGAATGAGATCTGTGACTACACCAGCAATAATCTGAGCCAATTAGGGCACCAAACAGAATGTGAGTGTATTGCAGAGACTTTTTGCTTGGTTTACTTTATAATTATGCTGTCACCGACCTTTAACAGAACCACAGAAATCACATCTGTCAAAAAACTGGCAAGGAACAGACAAATGGATGCGAATTAACAGGACAATACTCAAGTTCACAGAAGGAATTAGTCACTGAAAATGTCTCAGTATAAAATGTGTATTATGAAACCTATAGATTTTTAAAAACAACCCCGACAAGCCTAAGCTCTTGCTGTAAATACCAACTAAGATGCAGCCAAAGACAGCCTACACTGCAAATAAGGAACATATTCAGTTTATTATTAAACAAATTCCTAATGACTACCAGAAGCAATATGTATTTTGAATAACATTACCTGTTTTTATCAAATACAGTCATTTGTGCCACAAACGTCTTTTCCCCATCCTCACGATTTGAAGAGTTTCTTTTTCTCCTAGCTGGAAGCTCCTCATTGACATCTGCACAGAGGAGACAGGGCATCCCACCATTAGATAAGCACAAAAGCTCAAACAGTCTCTATGCAGTTGTAAAACATAACTGGCTGTTGGGTTTTGTCAGATGTGTCATACAACAGAAAAGGACAAAGCAATGGAAAGGGCACTTAGCTCAACAGTAATCATATTTTAGGTATGTTCTCATATTTTTAGATTCATCATATTATTCTGTCATCATAAAGAATTTGGGATTTGATCTTCCTCCTCTTGTGGCTATAAGATAGTGAGAAATAAAGTTTTTCACTCTACATGCACTCTCCAAGGCTGTAACATTTGTGATGTAACACATGTCTTAGCAAGATTAAGAAACCCCCTTAATAACAAGTTTTAGAAAGCTAATTTCAGTCAGTCACTCAGCTATTCCTGGCCCCTGTCACCTGCACTGCACAGCAAGACAACTCTGCCCGCAAGCTAAACCTGGTGAAAGCAGATGTAAAGGTTGAAGTTACCAATGTTCTCGTTAGTTTCGCCATTGATCAGTCCATTGAACTCTCTTCTTCCTGGGCGAGTGACTCTGAATAACAGTGAGTAAGACTTCACCATGTGGCTGTTGCTTGGCTCAAACTCATTGCTGGACACTGCAAGTGATGGGAAGTTGCCTGGTTTGATTTGGCTGAGGTCTGGGTTTAAAGGCACCTGCTTTTTACCTGTGGGGACCTGTCTTATCGGACAGCTCACATCCTGCAGCAAGACAAGAGAGCTCAGCTTTAGGCAAAGATATTGTGTTAAAATCTGTATCATTTATCAACTGTACTTGTCCTGCCAACAAGCCCCAGAACAGCTCAAAATACAAAAACTACATCTGGAACAATCCCAAGTTTGAAATGCAAAAACAGCTCTTTGGAAGTGTAAATAACACTGGGTCTGTGACCCTCCTGGCAGCAGCCAACTTTCTCCAGGTGATTAAATTAACACCAACACGGGGCACTCAGGAAGATTGCACAACAGTCATTAATACTAATTCAATTCTGTTTACCTCCAGAAATTACATGTTTTGGTTACATATGTATTTCAAGAGCTTCCTAGTTTCTCCCTGCAATATTACAAAGTGCACTCTGTGCTATCTGGGAGATAAAGAATCACTTACCCAGGATTTATTTTATTCAGTACCTCTCAAACAGATCACTGAACATTGTGTGGTATTGGGAAAACAAGACAAGATGGCCTAAATATGAAACTTGCAGCAAAACATTTGAAACAACCATCAGCACCTCCTGCTTTCACTACCTTTATCCATATCATGGCCATTAACAAAATTGGCTAGAAAAAATATTAACTCTTAAAAACATGTCAAAACAGCCACACTTTCTTATGGAAAAGCCATGAAATTCTAACTGCAAATCTCTCCCTTTCTGGTTAAAAATCACAGCCTGTAATACTGAGCCTCCCATGCTCCCATAGCTGTGAAGATAATTTGCCAACTGGTGTGAACCAAACACAGCTAAAACCAAAGAAAATCAAAGATGCTTTAAAAATCAAATATCAAATTGTTTATGATTCCTAGTAGCTAAAATTTGCAGTAATTGAAATGATCAAAGTACAAGACACAGGAACAGACAAAGCAAGGAAAGAGACAAGGCTGAGGAGTCAAAAACAATTACATCTTGTCCTTTTCACTTCTACACTGTAGAAGGCACAGACTTCCTTGTGGTTTTGTGATTGTCTGGTTTGCTTAAGCCTCTGGACATCACAAGAGACTTAACAGGGGTTTTGAATAATGAATATGTTATCTCTTATATATATAATAGATAATTAATTATGTGACCCAAAACTTGAAGTAAAAGCAGAAGTGGCTGAAATTCCCCAGGAGTGGATCTGCCTTACAAACAAACAAGGTTTGTCAGACTCTCAGTGACTTCCCACCAGTGTCAAACTCAACAGAAAACAACTTGAGTCGATGAGCCCTCACAGACTAATTTCAACAGGAGCAGCACTGCATGGCAGAGCTCACTGGGGACTGCAGGGCCAGGGGAGCATTTTGCTTTAGGACATATCAAGTTTGTCAAGCACTTTTACCTTTCGCTTCTTGTGGCAAACCTTGACCAGCAGAACTTCCAGGGTCACAGAGTTTTGTTCATTCTCTGAGTTTTGGGATGGCTTATCTAAACAGAAAACTGGTGTAAGTTCTGGGAAAGTGAAGATCTGTTCAATGGCACAAATCTGTCTGTAATTACTTTCTAACCTCCAGGCACAAACACCGAGACAAATTCTGTTTCAATTCTCCCCAAACTTATTGCCAACTCCCACTCAAGAATATTCCGACCTGCTCTCATACCAGCAGACTAAAAAGCATAGCTGATCTCCAGTGTTTAAAAGAGCAAGCTCACTACCTTGCTGTAACAGAGAAAAAAGGTCATGGGTAGATTTAGGAACAGTCAGAATAGATTAATTACAGAGATGTCAAATTATCGTCTCCAGTTTCTTTTCTTTACAGCATGCAAACTAAAATTTTGCATCCAAACTTAAGATCAGATGCTATCAGATAGGAACCACCCAACACCCAAGACACAATCCCCTAAAATCACTTTCTTGGGACTCCTCAGGGTCTGTTTCAGCTCCAAAGGAGGATGAAGCATTTTTGACTGAAACCCCTGAGGCTTATCTGCTTAACATCACAATTGTGCTACAACATTTTGAAAGCACTCCTGAATTGGAACCAATGGCACAGGCTGAGCTTAAACTCAGAATCTGCATCCAAACAGCAGAGATGAAAAACATTCACATGTTCCCCTCCCAGATCTCCAGGGATTTCAAAGGTGTCACACAAATGAACAGTCCCAAGAATGAAGTGGCAAACATACCGTTTTTATGGAAGAACCCAGTAAATGTGAGTTGCAAATGAGCAGACAAGCTAAACAGAAACAAAAGAAAGGAAATGTTAAAGCAAATAAGTGTTTTCTCTTTTCAGCAGCCACTTCACTCCATGCCCTGATGTCCAGGCCAAGGAGAACCATCCCAGACCAGTCCCTCACCTACTCGGACACTGCCTGGATGCAGCAGCTGCAGGTGATGCAAAGTTACACCAGTTTTCTCCTCACTGACTGATTCTCTCTGTGTACTCTAGGGCTTGGTATGTTAAAAACGTAAGTTTAAACACTGCAGGAGAAGGACATTGGCTGAACATAGGAGATGTTGCCTTCACAGGCAGGCAAACACCTGCCAGACATCCACCAGCAACAGGGATCAGTTTTGGTAGAGATTTTCTAAAACCTGAACTTGGTGCAATTTGGTTTTTTAACCAAGTGTTTTAAGTTTGGTAATGAGAATCTTTACAAGGAGCAACCTGCAGCCTCAGCAGTAAACATGAGCAGTCACAGCAAGTCCATATCACCCACAATATTTTGGATCAGGATAACCATTGCACTGTTTAGGTTCACAGCTCTGCAGCTCACAGCTCAAGCTGTTCTGCTGACCACACACCCATTTTGTTCCAAACTGATACATTCAGGACACATCTCAGCTCAAAACAAATGTTCATACACCTGTATTAAAACTGCTCTCAAACCCACTCAGCATTTCTGAGGTACACAAAGAACCAACTCCTGCACTACATCACCAGCACAACTTTGAGCACCTTCACCAACCTCTCAGGCAGACACAACCTGAACTCAACTCCTGTTTTTAAACACAAACATTGCTGAGAGCTCTGAGATGATCAAAGTCCCAACAGCCTGAGCATTCAGAACACTGCATCCACACCAGCTTGTCCCAAGCTTCCCATTTCTGCCCCAACTTTGATTTTTATAAAGGTAATTACCACTCCACAATTGGAATTCAGAGTAAGCTACCCCCAAATGGCAATTCTGTATGGAATTAAGACTTGAAACCACCTGTTTGTTCAAGAGGGAACACTGTTATTCAGGTAGAACTATGAGAAGGTCCAACACTAGATATATGTGGGGTCAGATAACAAGAAAAATCTCACACTAGGCAATACTTCTCACAAGAAGATTAGAAGGGAAACTTGTAAGTTTTACAGTCTTTAATGAAAACATTGTGTAACTAGTTACACTATTATGGCTTCAGATGGGTAAATATTTTCAATACTCTTGAAAGTTTCAGGGTTTTTTCTTTTGTCTTGGGGTTAGTTGTATTTTTCAACTGTTTGTTTCTTTAACGTAACTAGGAACATAAGATTAAAAATAGCACGTATACAACAAGATAAATCCCAAATAGCTTAATTTCATGGTATTTTCCCCAATCTGCTTCTGTTTTTGAATTCCAACACTCACAGATTAGCTACTGACACAAATGACCTTCTTAAAAACAGAGTTGAGGCAATTCCCTACTGGAGGTCCTGGAAGAACATCTCAAGCAGTGAGCACCTCACTTCTCATAGTTACTCTACATCACTTTCATTTTACCCATCAGAAAGACTTTTCATTTAGCACATCCATGTGCTCACTTGTACCCACACACAGCTCTATAGCAGGACAGTACCTGTGAGATTCTTGTTCTCCCTTCATTTTCTCTACTTTTGATAACATGTCATCTACTTTGAACGTTTTCCTGTGAAGAACAAGCAGAAAGAATAGTTTTATATAGGCATTATACCCATAAGATACAACAAGAAAAAGTTTATTCAGTCTGAACTTGGACTTGACTTTGTAAAAGAAAAATCTTCCTGCTTTAGTGACACTTATACCCACTAGGAACTGATGTGTCAGCTCCTCAGTCATTTCTATTTTAATCTTGATCATAATAGTGAAAAACCCTTAAAACCTAATATGACAAAAGAGTTAAAAATGTAATTAAACCTCCTCATTGCTACACACATTTCTATTAAACAGAAAAATGCAAACAACAATGAATTCTACAGGTACTTTTAGAGCAGAAAATGGGGGACAACAACTAATGACAACAATGTCACAGAGAATAACCATTTCAAATCATGTCTCTCCATAATTCTGACATCAGTCTGTTCATGCTCATATGTTCAGCCTGTTCTGCCACACACAGCTGAGTGTTCAATGCTATAAATAGAGCTCATTCATGAACAGAAATTCAACAGTTTACAGAACAGTCTCAGTTTTTCATTAAAGGATGCTTGGCCCTAGATGTCCATAAAACTACATCAGACTAGAGTGACAACCCAGAAGGGCACGGGCACCTCCTTCCCTTACATTTACACCTCTGGAACATGAAATAAGACCATAAGCTGTTGCCAAACTCTGGATTTCTTGCTGGGGGAAGCACAACAATATGCTCTGGGGCAGGGGAAGCATTTGCCTGGAGAAATATCCTGCCTGAGGGAACTCTGGTGTCACACACTGTCCCAGAGCAGAGGCTGCTGCTGACTGAGCTCCAGATCACAGCTGACTAACAGCAAGGCCAGACCAGCAGCACTGACACCAGCACAGGGATGGACTCAGATACAAGGAGAAAAATAATTATCACTCGTGTAGTAAACAAGCACTGACTCAAAGCTCTACTCAGCACAGGATTCAGAGATGAAAGCTCTGGGAACTGACTCACCTACACCCAACGTGGGATTGGAAAAGGGCAATGGAACACTCAGCTTTAAAGCAAGGGATGGTAAGAACAGCAATTCAGTTTCTACGGTAAAAACACCTCCAGCTCACCAACACCAAGCACTGCTGTGCACAACAGCAAGCAGTGCATGAGCTTTAGAGGGTTTTCTCCAGACTGAAGAATGGCTTAGAACAGCTTTGGAGCAAAGCTATGACATGATCAGAATATGAGGCAGAAACCAGCTCAGGGACAAACATGATTCAGGAATGGGGGAAGTTCTTTCATAAAATACACTGATATCTCACACAGCTTGCATTTAATCTAGGAACATTACTGATCCAAGGAGAACAATGACACAACCTCTAACTTCAAACTCTGGTTAGTCAAAATGAGCAGAGAGTCCTCTGAAAATAACCTTTCAGATACACTAAAAATAGCAACCAAGACACCTATCAAATCCAAACTGTTGCCTTTGAAGCTAACTTGTAAGAGCAGAAATTCCTTCAAACTGAATTGCTATTTTTGTTCCCATGTGAAACAGACAGAACTGTTGGTAATACCCATCCCTACACTCAGATTTTTGAGAGAGCATTTACGTGTGCTACAAGTGTGTGCATCCTGTGCATTCCTTTCTCCACCCACTTACCCCAGTCAAGCTCAGCAATAATTAACTGAGCCATTCCAGCTCTCCATCACCTATCACCTCTCTGGTGATAAGCAGCAACTCCAGTACTTTTTTAGCCCAAGCTGACACATTCCTATTTACTATTTACATTCCCACTGACTATTCCCTATCACCATTTCTCTTTACTCTAAGCATTCTAGTCTTTATAAACAGTTTCTCAGTATAAAACACATGGACCAATAGCAATAAGTAATTTCTTGGTAAAAATGCAGTTTTATTTCCCTTCCCCCAAGGGATAAATTTGTCTGGCATTTTTCTCAGGCTACCAAAGAGCTGGAGGTAAAAGCTGTGGAGCTATAATTACTGCTGTTCTGTAAGTGAGTTCTGTACAGTTTGGAGGTTAGTTCTTTGTATTTTACTTATGACACTTGTTACTGAAATGGCAATCAAAACAATGATCAGCAATTTTGAAATGGCAAAATTGACAAGTCCTAAAGTAATAAATAAATAAATAAATAAATAAACATGTTTGGTCCTGGTCCACATAAGCAGCTAACAGGGATGTGGTTCCAAAAGAGAACTCTACTAACACTTCAACAACACTGAAACCAGGACCATAAATTTTTCTCAATGTAAGCCTCAGGATGAGCTTCTACTCTAGTTCAGATACTATGTTAAACCCCCTTCTGCACCAAAACAAGGAGATAATATACCTGAACTACTTGTGCTGAATGAAGGATAGAGATTAAGGTCTTGGGCTACCCCAAAGTGTTTACCAGCACAGATCAGCTAACAGGTATCTGCTAATCCCTTCAGGAAATTCAGTTGAGACTCTTTTGTCACTACAGCCCAATAGTCCAAACTAGCCTTAAACTACAACTCTTGTGGTTTTAACTAGGCTGAGAGAGAAGGACAGAGCACTGACAGAGCACAGAAAGGTCAGAGGGAACCCAGGGGAGAACAACACTGTGCAATCCTTTGCTCTTTCCCCCCCTCAACTATACTGTTCATTTCTGTTGCATTTTTGTGTTTTTACAAGGAAAATACACTGAAATGTTTTACTTAATCTTTCTAGACCTAATTCCCAGCATGATTTCAGTAAGTCAGCATGGTGAGAGCGAGTGAGTAAAGCAGCTATTAAGCTGCTATTAGAGGGGAGAACAACACTGTGCAATCCTTTGCTCTTTCCCCCCCTCAACTATACTGTTCATTTCTGTTGCATTTTTGTGTTTTTACAAGGAAAATACACTGAAATGTTTTACTTAATCTTTCTAGACCTAATTCCCAGCATGATTTCAGTAAGTCAGCATGGTGAGAGCGAGTGAGTAAAGCAGCTATTAAGCTGCTATTAGC